AAAGATGAAACTAAACTATCTTGATATGGGAGTTGGGAAATGGCTCAGTGGCTAATGCTCCAGCTTTGCAAGCCTGAGGACGAGAGTTTGATCCCTGGCACTAATGCATACACTAAGTGTAATTTTGGCAGTTATGTTATTTGTGCAGCTCTGCTATGTGAGATCCCTAGTGCCATAAATCACTTCTAGCCACACTGCAGCCAGGTGTGTAAGCACCACAACTTAAACTTGCAACCCTGGTGAGGTCTACAACTAAAAGAAGTGTGACCTCCCCATCCTACCCACCCCCATCTCCACCTATTCCCCGATAACATCACCATAACCGCCAGCACAACTCAAGAGTATACCTCCAAGAAGCGCCAGAGCAGAATGTGCAAATACCATAACCAATGTGCTACTACAGGGTGAGCACAACAACCAAGGGTATATGCACTGCAACCAAGTGTGTGCGTGAGGCCCCCAGTCATCATAACCAAATCAACAGAGGGAAGTAAAGAGAATTCAAAATTCTATGCCAGAAAGAAAGAGCTCAAAAAGATAACAGGATAGAGAACCCACCTTAAAAGGTTTACCATTATTCAAATACGGGGTTCAAACTGATGAGTTATAAATCATCAATTTGATGAGCTATAATTCCTTTTTGTGCAGGCCTTCTGATGATCTCAGCCAACTGGCCAAAGGTTGAATTCGAAGGACCCCAAGGATGAAGTGCTTTGGGCCCTGTATTACCAATGAATACTCACACCACACTGAGTAATGTTTCAGATCTCCCACGCCAAACCAAGTGGTGCTCTGGGGTCTCCAGAGATGTACCTTCACTGCCTTAGATTAATTATTAATCTCTTTGCTCTCCCTCTCATACCCCCCTCTCTCTCTCCTCCTTTCACTTCCTCACCTTTTTAAAATCAGAGACCCATTCACCATAAAAGCTTTCCATTTCTACAACTGTATAATAATAAAATGTTTTTCTTCCGCAATAGTCATGAAACACATAATACACTTAACAAAGACATGGCAACAACAAGGTGTAGGGAGATAACTCAAAGGGCTGGAGCAGGGGCTGCTCTGTAGGGGTGCTAGGAGAGGTGGGCAGGGAGTCAGCACCTCAGGATTCACAGAGCTCACCACATGGTCCACCAAGCCCAGTAGCCCCTAGCACAATCAGAAGGTGTAGTACAAAAACAAAACAAAGAAACAGGAGAAACAAACAAAAAGACAACAAAATACCTAAAGTATATGTCCAACAAGCACAAAAATGCTCATTTCTTTTCAAAGGATTAGTAAGCAAAACATTCATCCCAGAATTATTAGAACTACCTCGTTTTTTCTGACCCTTTTAAGCACTAGAGAGAAAATTTTTAGTAAGCCAATGAAAAAGAAATAAAGAAGAAACTAAATTTTCTGTGAAGTATCCTAGTTTTCTTAATGGTGATGTTCAAAGACTCAGAATGATATTAACTATAAGCACAATGTTTTTCTTTCAAAGATCTTCTCAGAGACCGAAGTGTTAGTACAGGCAAAACGCTCATTTGCATTGCATGCAATGCAGTTGATCCCAGTTCAAATTGCCAGCATCATAGATGGGTCCTGAAGCACTGCCAGGAGTGACTGCTGAGCACAAACCAAGGAATAGCCCCTGAGCATTTCCAGGTGTGGCACAAAAAATTTTTTAAAAATTATTATCATGGGGTAAATTACAGCAGATGACATATTACCTAATTTAATGATCAAATTAAACATCATCTGTGGAGTACGAATATATATTCTATGTTCTATACCAGTAATACAAATCACAAAATTTCTGTGACTTCTTTTAAAATACCACTATTAAGTGCTAATTATTAACAGTAATCCATCTACAAGATAAAATTTGAAGACTCAAAGGATCCTCCATGTTTTGATCTGTAGCCACCATTGCAGTCTCATCCAGCATCAATCCCTGCACATCATTTCATGTTCTAAATGATTCATGTTTCCCATAACTATCTATTCCTTCTATGACTTCAAACCTTGCCAACTACTCTTTCCTCCACACTTCGGAGCTGTGGATATACCCTCCCCCATGAAGTTTTTCTGATCACCCCAATACCCTGAGTCAAAGTATCTCCCAGGACACTCCTTATTCTTCCACCACATACACATATGGATTAACCCTGACAAGTTGAAGAGATCAAGTTCAAGTGCATTGAATACACCTAATCTACTGAGTATCGTTGTATTCACCTAGCTTTCCTAAAACATGCAAACAACACTTCAGTACTGCAGCTGGGCAAAGTCATCATACACAGAGCCTATTTTATAAAAAAAAAAAAAATACTGGACCGCTTATGCATTTGTTGAATTATATGATGTGACTGATGGGGAGTTGCAGCTCACTGCTACCACACATCAGAGTATTGTACTGCATTCTTTGCTAGCTTGAGGGAAAAATACGTGAAGTACAGTTTCTAGAGAAATTGTGTTGCATTCACACCATCACAGAGTCTAAATAAAAGACTGAAGCATAAACTGGAGATCATACATATTTTTAAGATGTCTGCATCCCAACCATGAGTCCTAAAATATCTTAAATATCTTAACATATCTTAACTGTTTTCCAGACCTACGTATACAGGCACTCAATTTCAGTACCTTAAATAAATAACAGTAACTGTGAGAAAGATTCACTTTCCTATAAGAGAGTGTTCCTTAACTGTTCTGAATCACATCCAATTTTACCTCCAGTGGCACTTGGTCAAGTTCAAATATACTCCAGATAATCACAATAGCAAGGAGACAACTTGGTGAAAGCTACTCCTAAAGCCTCCATGATAAAAATTTACCAGGCACATGCATCAGTACAGTTAATTTTTTGGTTGGTTTGGTAGCAAGGATCCTATGCTAAGACATCCCTGGCCTCACTAGCACCAGACTTCAGAAACTCATGTCACCAACTGACTTCCTCGTAGATGAGGATTCCACAGTACAACTCTGTGATTAGTGACAATTAGTTCCACTTCTGAAGATTCAACGGAAACGTCTGTTAACAGTTGTTGTGTCAGCAACAACACTAAAAATGGCCTTTATATAATCCTAATGCTTAACAACATTAAACCAAGAATACTGGAAAACATTCCAAATTTTGAAAAGCTAATCTGTAACCACCCAAAACTACTCTTGAGTCAGTAAATCACTTCATGTCCTTAACAACTTGGAGCAAACCGCAAGCAAACTACTTTTCCCTTGTGGAACTGGGACAGGAAAAGTAATCTCTGACTAAAGAGCAATCTGAGGCATGAGATGCTCAGTTCTTCCAGCTCCTAGGAAAGGAAAATCTCCCAGTACTGCGAGTAAACCACACAGAGATGTCTTCACTGTTGTTAGGGGGAAGAACAGACAGCACCTGGGAAAGGGCAGGACCTTGCTAACTGCCAAAATCAGATTATCCAAATTTTAAGTATCTCGGACAAAACCACTGCAAAATGCATCAAATATCAATGTGGGGTGGCAGACAAAGAAAGTAAACTGTTTCTCCCGTGAAACATAAGCGAGTTTCACATGACTTGAACAGTCACAAAGTTATGCAAAACGCTTCGATAGTGAATGACTCAAGTGAACTTTCCTGCACATTCTTTGGCTAAATTCTACCAATTTCCCGATTTCTTTTTGTATCACTTGAACAATTTAGCCTCCCCAGCTGTTAAATCATGAAGATTGTGTTGCACAGGCTCAGTGTCCAATAAGTTTCTCTGGAAATTTAGGTGGCATTGTAAACCAGTGATCAATGAAACAGTCTTTCAATTTAAAAAAAAAAAGGAGGGGGGGAGCCACCCAGAACAGAAACTACTGTTGAATTACAAGAAAGAGTTTTCAATGATATTATTGGAAGGACGATATTCCTTAATTATGTGATTCCACAAACTAAACAAATACACCTACAGCTTTCCAATGCGCTCATCATTGTTATCCAAAGGTTCCCCCCTACACAACCCCCACCCCATCCCCCAGATTTTAAAGAAATCAGGAGCATAAGCACAGGGGAAGAAGGATGGCACTGACTAAAGCTTACTTACAAGATTTAACTTTTGGATCGCTAAAAAAGAAAATAATAATAATAATAATAATAATAATAATACGTACTGGGGACCGGAGTGATAGTGCAGCGGGTTAAAACCGAGCCTTACACTCGGTGGACCCGAGGTTGATCCCCAGCACTACCCAAGTTCCACCCGGAGTGATCCCTGAGCACTGAGCCAAAAGTAAGCCCTGAGCAATGCCGGGTGTGGCCCCGAAAAATCCAAAAATAAATAAATAAGAGGTTTAAAAAAAAAATAGTGGGGGGAGCATTTCTAACTGTGGGGGTGGAGGGGGTGGGGGAGAAAGTAAAAACAAATATATTTTTTTAAAAAAAAAGATAGTGGGGGGGTCACTTCTAATTCTGGGGGGTCAGAGGTGGACGGCGGTGGGGGGAGAAAGTTTCCCATAGTGAGTAATAGCTTCCTTCTCAGCTGACTCCAGCACCAGCCCCAGACGGCGGCGCCGGGATGATCGGTCCCCGCGCGCGCTAGGCCGGGCGTCACCACCTGGCCCGCCCGCGCTGCCCCGATGCCAGGGGCCGGCCAGGTGCGGCAGGTGCGCGTCGTGTCCATGTCGGGTCGGGGGGCGCGCTGGCTGGGGGACGCGGCGCGGGGGGGGGGGGGGGGGGGAAGGAGCCGAGCCCGGGGCGTTCTCCGGCCCGTCCCGCGGACGCGACTCCACGCTCCCCGCGGTCGCTGCCCTCCCCGCGCCGCCCGCCCCGGGACGCGCCGGGCACCACACCCTCCCGCGCTGACAGCCCTCGGCGTCCCCGCGGCCCACCCCCCGCCCCCCAGCCCGCGGCCTAATCGCCGCCCGAGCTCCGGGGCCTAGAGGCGGCGGCGGCGGCGGCGGGGGCCAGCCCGGGAGAGGGGGCGGCGGCGGCGCCCCGCGGCTCCGACTCTCCTCGCTCACGTGCCGCCCGAAAGACGGTTTCCCTCGCTTACCCTCTGCAAAATCCTCCTTAACATGGTTTAAACGCCACCTGGCGCCGCCGCGCCGCCTCTCCGGACCCTGCGCGGAGCCGCTCACTACTCGGGGTGGGGGGTGGGTGGGGGGCGCGGGCGGGAGGGCCGGCGCCGGGAGGTGGGGGTGGGGTGGGGAGGGGAACCGGGTGAGGAGGAGACTGGGACGAAGCGGCGGTGGCGGCGGCCGCTCGGGCGGCCCCGACTTCCCCACAGGCGGCGGGAGGGAGCGCGCGCGCGCGCGCACGAGCGAGCGAGCGAGCGAGCGACGAGGCAGCCGGCGAGCGCCCGCCCGCCGGGCCGCCCCCGTAACTGACAGCTGGGCGTGCCCGCCGCTGCAGCCCCGCCCTCCCCGGCCTGGCTATCCGCGGAGGGCGGGGCTAGAAGGGGCCCGGCCCAGGATCTGCGACCAATGGGGAGCGGCGGTGGCGTGGGCGGCTGCGTGACGGACAGGGCGGCAGGACGCTCGCGCCGCGGCTCCTTCCGGCGGGTCGGGGAACGCCGCCGTCGCCGCCGAGCGCACGCCCGCCGGGCCGCCCGCCCTCTGTCAGAGGCCGCGCCCGCGAGCTTGCCGCGTGCCCGCTTCAGGAGCGGGGTGGGGGGTGGTCCCAGGACCTCTCGGGTCGCGGCGGGGGACCCAGGTTGAAGGAGGGTGTCTGAGGTGGTGGCACTTTCTGGCTGCTCTGTAAAATGGGACCGTGTGGCCCCGGCCCCGGAGCCAGGTCCGGATCCTCATTTCTGGTGAAAGCTGAGGGAGAATCCTAACACGCTTAACCGGTCTGTTGAGCGTCCCTCTGCCTGCCCCGTGCCGGTTTTCCCTTTCTTTCCCCGCTTCAGGTTTCAGCCAGAGGGAAAGGAAGGAATCTGCGGAGAAGACTGGAATTTGAGTTGGCAAGCCCAACTTTGGGGTCTTTCCTTGAGGGACCCTAACACGTGGTTTTAAGGGGCTGAGGTCATTTAATATATTCCACTTTCTCTTTCTATGGCCCCTGCCTGGTCCCTAAAAATTTTACATTTCGAGTTTTAAGTCTGTTACTAGATGTGTGAAGGAGAGCTGAGGAAACAGTACAGCGCGCAGGGCGCTTGCCTTGTATTTGGGCACCGTCCCTGGCACCCCATATGGTTCCCCACACCCTGCCAGGATTGATCCCTGAGCACCGAGCCAGGAGTAAGCCCTAGGCACCAATGGGCCCAATAATCCAAAACAGTGTACAAATGGACACAAATGCCTTTGTTCTTGAACAAAAATGAAATAACGAGGTCGCAGCCAAACAGCATGCCAAAATTAGAACATGGACCTGGATAAAGGGATATACCCAATAATCTTTTAGTGTCTGTATTGCAAACCATAATGCCCGAAAGGAGGGGGGAGAGCGAGAAAGTGTCTGCCATGGGGGGAGGGGGAGGCAGGATGGAAACTGGGGACATTGGTGGTGAAAAATGTACATGGTGAAGGTATGGGTATTGAAACGTTACTGAAACCCTAAAGTAATTAATTTTTAAAAAATTTTAAGAAGAACGTGGATCTGGAGCTGACTTCCAGACACAAAAGCGTCACTCCAACTCAGCATTCAGTTTCTGCTTCAAGCAAAGAGACTCAACTCTTATATAAGGAGAAATAAAGAAGCATTATTTTTTTTTTTAATAATGAAAGCGAGAAGCTAAGAAAACTTTAGAGGGCCTACAATGTGAAGCAATGGAGTGCTTATTAGAAAGTGCTTCTAGTCTTTTGGGAAGGCAAATACAGCAAGTATTATTTTCAAATAAAATGATGTAAAAACATTCTGTAAAGTGGAAAGCATTATTCAATATTGAAATCCAAAATGTGTTTTCTCTTCACTCTGCATGTCTGACAGAGCAATCACTAGAATGAATACATTATTAATCTCTATGGATAATAGAGTGCTTAAATACTTCAAGGAAAACATAATGAAAGCATATACTATTTCATCTTTCCAGACAGAAGTTACTTTATTTAAGATAATGCAATAAATATTTTCATCTACATAACATAAATGATAGAGCTATGTGATGTAGACCTGGAAGATAGTTCAAGGTCCTAGAGTGCATAGTTCATGCTTCGCATGTGGGAAGCCTGGATTCAATCCCTGATACCACATAGTCCCCCAACCACCAAGGAAGTAGCTCTTGACCCAAACACACCCATCCTCATCACCACACACACAAAGTGCAACATATGTTTGGTCCCTGCTTCTAGTTAGTGAGAAAAAACTTTCAAAACACTTGTAATTTCCTGAGCAGTAGGGTGCTGGCAGCATCTCTTTTTAATATTTTAGTTTTGACCTTTGTTCTTGACACTAGAACTTTTAAACCCCTTGGAATCTAGGTGATAAGTATCTTTACATGCTAAAGAGGTAACTAGTGAAGAGGAATTCTTAGCTTCAGGGCAGGTGAGAGGCCAAGCTGGAAACTCTCAGAACAACTTTCAGGACCCTTCTCCTCCCCATCTCTGAAGAGTGGAGAATAACTGGAAGAGTCAGAGGAGAATTTATTATCAACGTCCAATGATTTGACTAGTTATGCCTGTCTAATGAAACTTCTTCATAAAAACGTAAACCAAGAGACATGGAGAGTTGATAAACACACCAAGGTATTGGAAACATGGTTAAACCTAGAGAGAACTACCAAGAAGCTCTTTTCCCTTCCCACCACCAGTACCCCACTTCCCAAAAAACCTTACCCTATTTATCTCTTCATTTGGATATACATAACTATCACCCAGTTGTTCATCGATTTGCTCAAGTGGGCGCCAGTAATATCTCCATTCATCCCTGTCATGTGCTAGTGTAGCCCGATGGCATATTGGGGGCTCTTTCAGAGTAAGGGGAATGAGGACCATCATTGTTACTGTTTTTCGCATATCAAGTATGTCACGGGTAGCTTGCCAGGCTCTGCTGTGCAGACAGGATACTCTTGGTACCTTGCCGGGCTCTCCAAGAGGGATGGAGGCTTTTGGGGCAGCCTCTAATCACCTTTACAGGTGTTCCCAGTCAGGCATATATGCGGGCAGGGTACTCTCAGCAGCCTGCCAGTTTCTCTGAGAGCAAGAACTAGACGATAAGAGATCGCACGGCAGTGATCTTATTTTTTATATATATAAAAATTATATATATATATCATATATATATATAAGCAATAGTAAGTAAAGTGTTTCCCTAAGTTCTCTGCAAACCATTAAACTTTTAGCGGAAGTGTTGTGGGAACCCCTTGTAAAATGAAGATCAGGTCACAAAAGTGCTGACTTGCACCCAAGTAGAGAGATTTTACTCACAATTCAAGCCAGTCTCAGAGAATCACTATGTGGTTTTATTGCAGGAAGACCACATTACAATATAAATGTACAATTCAAATAGCAATAAGAGGAGAAATACAAACCACTTAGCAAGTCCCAGGAGACTAGTTTGCAGGCAGGCTATGCTTGGATCTGGAGAGCCACTGGCAGTATCCTTGCTAGGGGAAAAAATGGGCCTTTTTTCTGAACAAAAATGTTTTCACTGTCTTTCCTCCAAAAACCTTAAGATGGCTTTAGGGTCACAAATTCGGGTGACCAGAATCATCTCAAATTAGACCATTTTGGTGTCGATACTATATTTCTGAGATAAGTTACCAGAATCATCTGTTTTCATTTAGGAAAAGCCTCGTGATTTACCAGATTTCTTTATCTGTCCTTGCCTTCCCCTTGTCTTTTCACCAGTGTCATCAGTGGTTGCTTTTTAATTGATAATTTGAGTGAACTGCTCTACCTCAATAACCTACTTCTTGATCAGTCAGGGTCTTTATAACACCAATACATGTGACATCTCCATTGGGCAAGATAATTACAATATCAATACACATTTTACCCCAGCCTAACCAGTTGGTCCAAAGTACAGGTGACAAACCAGCTCTTCTGACTGACATCTGTAGAAAAGGTGGAAAGCAACACAGAGAACTATATTGTGAGATAGAGCCCAAGTCCTCACTCTGTGGGATCTGCACTAAATCCAGGTAGTGGCAGGACTGAATCTGAAATGAATTGCAATTAATGTTCAGAGACTTGGAGAATTGCTTGATATAGAAAAATACATGTCACATTTGGGATTGTGAGTAAAGACAGAAAATATTTCCTTTTTGTTTGTATATAAAACTTGATTTACTTTAAAACTGCTTACAAATGTCAGATGATATTGAATTGATATCTACTGAATCCTCTTGTGGAATCTGACTAATGTGATAGACATTCTTCTTCTGCTTATGTAGATGTGTTATTAAAAAGATTGCTATCGCAGGGCTGGAGCAATAGCACAACGGGAAGGGCGTAAACCTTGCACGCTGCCGACCCGGGTTTGATTCCCAGCATCCTATATGATTTCCTGAGCACCACGAGGTATAATTCCTGAGTGCAGGGCCAGGAGTAACCCTTGTGCATCGCCAGGTGTGACCCAAAAAGAAAAAAAAGATTGCTATCCCAGACTGGAAAGATGTCCCTGGGTTTGATCCTAGTACTGCATGATCCTCCGAGCACTGGTGGTTGTGCCCTTACCACAGAAGGTCCTTGCAGCTTATAACTCCATCGCTATAATAATGCCAAGAAAATTTGTTTCACATAAAAATAAGTGGTGGATGGATATACCATAGAAGAGAGAATGAATCCCCTTCAGTAATCAAGGAGCTTCCTAGATATGACATTTCTGCTTACCCTGTCTGACCAGTAATTCTTGGCCACTTTGTATTCTTACATTAACTCTGTTCTTTGAATGAGAATTACATTCTCATTCTTTGACTCCGCCAAAACTGCTACTCCTTTGGACCCTTCTACTTTCTAACTCTCGGCCATTTCCCCTCGGGTTCTCTTTTCTATCAAAACCTAGTCTTACCATCCATGAGCCAACTTCATAGTACGTCCTCCTTACTTGCAAATATGTTTAACTTCTTCACTTCTCTCTTCATCGTTGTTTTTATCTAAGAAAATTAAACTGTCATTCTCTGCTTTGTGAATATCACTGTAGACACATATACAATGGTGTTTAATGGGCTTATTGTACTTTAATAGTCACAGATCTTAAATAAACTCTCTCTACACTCCCAACTGCAGCCCTAACTGTCTTCATCCTCTAGATAAACAAAA